GATCGCATCCAGTAGTCACAGCCCAATATACCAATCACAGCACAACAAGAGAAACTACCTTTAGTTCTGTTTAGCGTAACAAGTGAGGCATTTCCGACAAACTCGTTTTTGATATTACACAAAGAATTATCTCCACGCATAGCGGGACGGTCGAGTGTCAAGCCTAGGATACGGAATACTGTGGCTAACTCTGATTGGTTGTCACCAAACTACATGCACATGCGCTGAATGACTTTCCAGATGGGAGCTAGTCTATGAGTACAAGTAAGGTCGTGCGCCTCGAAACCATGAAACTCTGAAACTGCGGAGTTCACGCGGGAGATCTGTGCATCTACACCTTTCAGCCCCAGGACCACAAGGGCAGCGAAGTAAGTAAGGAGGCCTTATTGAGTCTCTGATCTGCGTCACTTCAAAACAATCTAAATTTCCCCAATGTTTCCAGTGGCTAATACACTGTACTTGCTTTGCTTCTGCTCCCAAACTGGTTTTGAGGGCCGCCATGGGAACCACAGCTGTGTTGAAGCTCTCTTCGCCGCCAATGACCTGTGGGGGTTACCCAAACGCTAATGTGAGAGCCTTGAGTTGCAATGCGGAGGCGGATACACCCATCGAACGCTGTGTACGACTACTTGGGGTCGAGCAGATGCCAGTTATAACTACGGCACCATGTAAACGGCATGTATCATGTTCGGTGGATATGATGGAGATGGAAGTAAGAGCTTTCGTGAATGCCAACAAAAGAGCACTATAGCTAGCGTAGTTACTTGTGTGATTGTGTATTCACCATGGGGCTAGGTAGACTAATGAATCCTCTGGTGTAGTAATCGTATGCGTGCTTGTCCTTTCTTTTTCGCCTTTGGACCATTGTCCCCGCGTGACTTGCAAGTGGATCGCTTGATGCTTACTTTGCATTGCATATTTGATGCGGAGGATGGCTTGTGACGTTCCAGGTATGAAACTTGGTGCTAGTTTCGATGTCGGCCAATCTGGTCAGTATCCGGCCCAGGCCGGACCTACTGGGCAAGTATTGGTTCCGCTCCCGCGCCGCGGCGGTGGGTGAAGAGCTCACGCACCCCCACGCAAAAGTGTGTGTAAGGCTGATATGTATTGGGTGCGAAAGGAGTGCGGCCTCAATGGTGCATCGTTGCAACAAATGAGGCTAAATACAGAGCGGACGAGAGCGAATCACAGTATTGTCCCGACGGACGAGTGGTTAGCGAAGACAGTCGGCACAAGTCCCGCGCGGCGATTCGGCGTGGTAGGTGTAATGGCTTCGCGTCAGGGCGGCATTGTCGGGTGGTGCTTGAGTGGGAATCGTGCATTACAGCTTGCGGGCCCCACCATGGCAGCTAGCTTACCAATGCAGCCCAGTTGGTCTGGATACGCAAGGAGGGGCCGGAGGAATGTGACGATCTGAATTGCAAGTGGCCAAGAAGGCGAGGCGCGCAGACGCACCCTAGTCTGTGTATACTCTAAATCGTATCTGCAGGTGGTGGTGAGGGCGAGGGTGGTAGGGTGCAGAGGTGGTGGACTCGGACAGCTTTGCTTGATAGCGGGGTAAGTAGTTGGTTGCCCGCATGACGACGGCGCGACCGGAAGCTCAATGCAACGCAACGCAACATAGCGAGCGCTCTCACAAACATGGCACAACACTCTGGAGCCGACCAGCCATGCAAATCTGTCGTGTTCCAGCTAGTGACGGATGTCCGAAGCAGTGCAAGGCCAAGGTAGCCATCGCCTTGTCCGCGACAGGACTCGCCGAGTTTGGACCAGCCTCTTCCGCCGGCGGCGGCTTGGTGGGCTGGCGTGGACCGGAGGTGCGTTGCGAGAGATGCGGCGGCTTAGTGATTGTGCCAAATAGCCCGGATGTTGACTGACGGCCCAAGGCCCTTTTTAACCACGTCAGACGGCACTGAGACGCGAGGGTGGGCAGGCCGTGTGTGTCTGTGTCTGTCAGTGAGGGTACTATCATATCCCCCGGCGTCTGAGCGGCAAATTGGGGCTAAAACGTCACCACCACGAGGGCCTGTAAACCGCTAGAGCATGTCCGATAACCCCACCAGTCGCTGGAGCTTTTCTTTCCACTCACCACGCCCTACCCGTAGCTTCTCTTCTTCCCTCAAGACTCCTCTTCCACCCCTGACTCTCATTGCCCACTGCAGCCCTTAATTGAGCTGTCACCTCGCGACCGCGCCTTCTGCAGAGCGATTGCACACCGAACCACCCTTTTACCATGGCCGATACAGTTATCCAGCCTCAACACGAGGTGGTCAATGCCGGGTAGGTAGCTTCACTTGTCTTCACAGCTCGCGTCCCACCGCTTGCAAGGAGCCTTCCTCAGTCTCGCCTCAATTTCTCCGGCCGCACTTTCCCGGTGAACAATGCTGCTGCTCTCAATGGAGGGGTTGCTCTATACCCGAATCCAATAAGCCATCACTGAGACCTTCTGAACTCCGCCGCTAATTTACGTGCTCTCGCAGAAACATGGAGCTCAAGGACAACACCATCATTGTTGTTCTCGGCGCCTCTGGTGACTTAGCCAAGAAGAAGACTGTACGTACATACCCATGCCTAATCGGTAGACACGTCAAACTAACATCACCGCAGTTCCCAGCTCTCTTCGGCCTTGTAGGTTACGCGGCCAAAATCGTATTCCACCTCCGTTGACCATCGATACAGCACCGAAACAACTTCCTCCCCAAGAACATCAGCATCGTCGGATATGCGCGGACCAAGATGGACCGCGAGGAATACCTCAAGCGCGTCAAGTCGTACATCAAGACCCCCACAAAGGACCTGGAGAAGCAGCTGGACGAATTCTGCAACTTCTGCACCTATGTCTCGGGTCAATACGACCAGGACGACTCATTCATCCAGCTCGAGAAGCACATGCAAGAGATTGAAAAGGGCCGCAAGGAGACCAACCGCGTCTTCTACATGGCTCTTCCTCCCAGTGTCTTCATCACAGTTTCTCAGCACTTGAAGCGCAATTGCTACCCAAAGAGCGGCATTGCCCGTGTCATTGTAAGTCAAATGCATTCACCAATGCAGTTTCATGCCGCTCACTGCAATTGTACAGGTCGAGAAGCCATTCGGCAAGGATCTCCCAAGTTCAAGAGAGTTGCAAAAGGCATTGGCTCCAGACTGGTCTGAAGATGAGCTCTACCGAATTGACCATTACCTGGGTAAGGAGATGGTCAAGAACATTCTCATTCTTCGATTCGGTAACGAGTTCTTTGGCGCAACCTGGAACAGGAACCACATCGACAACGTTCAGGTATGGCAATCTGAGCATGTCTGGAGATGGAGATACTGATGAGCGCAGATCACCTTCAAGGAACCTTTTGGCACCGAAGGACGAGGAGGTTACTTTGACGAGTTTGGCATCATCCGTGATGTCATGCAGAACCGTGAGTGACAAAACAAAAATTCGAAAAGAAAGAAGAATTCACTAACAATTCTAGATTTGCTGCAAGTACTAACGCTTCTTGCTATGGAGCGACCAATCTCCTTCTCAGCCGAAGACATCCGTGACGAGAAGGTGCGTGTCCTCCGTGGCATGGCCTCCATCGAGCCCAAGAATGTCATCATCGGACAATACGGAAAGTCGCTGGATGGAACGAAGCCAGGCTACAAGGAGGACGACACGGTGCCCAAGGACTCGCGATGCCCCACCTTTGCTTCCATGGTCGCTTACATCAAAAACGAGAGGTGGGACGGTGTGCCTTTCATCCTCAAGGCCGGAAAGGCTCTCAACGAGCAAAAGACCGAGGTCCGCATCCAGTTCAAGGATGTCACTTCGGGTATTTTCAAGGACATTCCCCGTAATGAGCTTGTCATCCGAGTGCAGCCCAACGAGAGTGTCTACATTAAGATGAACTCCAAGCTGCCCGGTCTCAGCATGCAGACCGTTGTCACAGAGCTTGATCTTACCTACAGGCGGCGATTCTCCGACCTGAAGATCCCAGAGGCATACGAATCGCTCATTCTCGACGCGCTCAAGGGCGACCACTCCAACTTTGTTCGTGACGATGAGCTCGATGCTAGCTGGAGGATCTTCACTCCTCTGCTGCACTACCTGGACGACAACAAGGAGATCATCCCCATGGAGTACCCATACGGTAGGCGAAATAAGGTGATATGAATCGTACAACTGCTAATTACATGCCAGGCTCTCGTGGTCCCGCCGTATTGGACGACTTCACTTCTTCTTATGGATACAAGTTCAGCGACGCAGCAGGTAAGACATGATCTCTATAGTGCACTAGAAATAATTTGCTAATGCAGGCCCAGGATACCAATGGCCAATGAACGAGCAGAAGTTGTAGAAGACTACTGGTGGTTATGTTTGAAAGCGGCAACGAATTGCGCCCTCTTGGTGTGTTGATCGGCCTCGGCAGTCTTTCCACGCAGAAATACAAGGAGCTGAATAGATAATGAATGCAACGACGTCTGTATGTCGCAATGTACTGTGCTTAGATGATGAGTGATTATTCGTAGCGCGTCTGTTGCCAGGCATTCTAGTTTGAATTTAGACTTCCGAAAAGCGGAGGACTCAAGCAAGCGAGTGGCTGGCGGCGGTAGTGGGGTAGAGGCTAGAGCGGTATGGCATCATCGGAGGAATTGAGAAATTTTTGAAAAAGGTCTGGTCAGACGCCCACTGAGTCAAAGTAGAGGTGTCATAGCAGTCGGAGATTTAACCACGCAGTGAACACGTATTGATTTAAAATGGAAAGCATCCCTTGAGAAATTGCTGTTGCTCACCAGTCGACGCTACTTACTCCCTTTCTTCGGCTGACGTTTGCAGCCTTGCAGAACCCGTCCTGATATTACCGCGTGATTCATTTGGTACGCAACCCATTTTAGTATCCGTAGTAGAAACGCGGCGGTATTTATAGTCTGAGTTTTTGAGCCTCCGGATTGTACGACCTGTTTGAGTTGTAGCATCCCCCCACCTCTCCCCCGAGCAACCTCCGCAATCACGCCCGCGCGCGCCCATCATGACTCCCGCCCAAGACATTGCTGGCAGCATTAGCCAAATCTCACGCAGCGTATCCAACAGCCTCAACATCAGTACCAGCCCAACCCTCTCGTTCCACAGCCCACCCTCGACATTCAGGCAACCACCGTCTGCCAACTCTAGAGATGGTCGGACCCCGAACCTACCCGGCACGTCGCATGCACAGCAGCTGGCTAAACAGCTGAAGCCGTTTGACACCAAGGACATCAAGGTCCTTCTCTTGGAAAATGTCAACGAGGCTGGTGTGGATATCTTGAGGGGCCAGGGCTACCAGGTCGAGGCGATCAAGGCCAGTGTGGGAGAGGATGAGTTGATTGAGAAGATTCGCGATATCCATGTGATTGGAATTCGGTCCAAGACGAAGCTCACCAAGAAGGTACTCGAGGCAGCAAAGAACCTCATTGTCATCGGCTGCTTCTGCATCGGAACCAACCAGGTCGACCTCCAGACTGCTGCCAGCAAGGGTATCGCCGTCTTCAACTCGCCGTTTAGCAACTCGCGCTCGGTTGCCGAGTTGGTCATCTCAGAAATCATTGCGCTCGCTCGCCAGCTCACTGACCGCTCCATGGAGCTCCACAACGGTACTTGGAATAAGGTCAGCAAGGGATGCTGGGAAATTCGTGGCAAGACACTGGGCATAGTCGGATACGGACACATTGGTTCGCAACTCAGTGTGCTGGCAGAATCCATGGGCATGAACGTCATTTACTACGATGTACTGACCACCATGGGCCTGGGAACCGCGCGACAAGTACCGTCTTTGGATGACCTTCTCGCACAGGCCGATTTTGTGTCTCTACACGTGCCCGCGACAGCCGAGACCAAGAACATGATTGGCAAAGAGCAGTTTGCAAAGATGAAGGACGGCAGCTACCTCATCAACAACGCCCGCGGTACCGTCATTGACATTGCGGCGTTGATTGAAGCCAGCCGCTCCGGCAAGCTGGCGGGTGCAGCCATCGACGTGTTCCCCAACGAGCCTGCCGGTAACGGTGACTACTTCAGCAACGAGCTAAACACGTGGACAAAGGATCTTGTGGGTCTCAAGAATATTATCCTCACACCGCATATTGGCGGCAGTACCGAGGAAGCGCAGAGCGCAATCGGCGTCGAGGTCAGCACAGCATTAGTCCGCTATGTCAATGAAGGCACGACGCTTGGCGCCGTCAACATGCCCGAGGTCAATCTCCGAAGCTTGACGCTCGACCAGCCCGACTGCATGCGTGTGATTTATATCCACAAGAACGTGCCTGGTGTGCTGAGGCAGGTCAACGGCATTCTGCTGCACCACAACATTGAGAAGCAAATGTCGGACTCAAGAGGCGATGTTGCTTATCTGATGGCAGATATCAGTGAGGTCAAAGAGAGTGAGATTCGGGATATATTCACGAGCTTGGAGGAGTTGTCGTGTAAGTCTTTGCTCTATTATCATTCTTGGTGTAGGCCATGGCTAACAGGGCTGGTTGCAGCGTGTATCCGAACGAGGGTCTTGTACTAGGGGTCGGCTCGTCTCCGACCAGTGCCTCAGACTCAGCAAGGTGAGGGAACGAAGCGAACGTGTTTGAGGCGTGTGATTTCTCCTCTTGTTGTGTCTCGAAGTATGACGCCTCTTTCAATTCAACAATTCTTCTTCAAAAAGGGAAACGGGAAACTAGGGTGGGGCGCTGTGTAAAAACTTCAACGTTGAGTCTGTGTGTAATGCATGCAGAGCAAAAAAGGGCATATGTCGTGTTTGCTGGATTTGTTTGTGCACTGGCTTGCTTGGTATAAAAGTGTGCTGGGGTCTGGGGAGTGCCATTGCTAAATACACATAGAGACAGAATGCATGATTGATGAAACCGGAGTGAACCAGGTAATACGTCTAAACGAGGTGAGATGAGTTTGTGCAAACGCATGCTGTTGTTTTAGTGTTTGTGATGGCACAAGGGTGGTGGCTGCGAGGGGTGCAGAGTACCGTAGGAGCTGAGGTGTATGAGAGCACGTGATACAGTGGAGCATATGTATGCATGCCATGTCATGCTGTCTATCTATGGACATGTACTTGTCAGATGACGCAAACGTGTGACGGGTGACGGGAGGATTTCTCGCTCGACAAAGACATGGAGAGTGCGAGACTGTCTTTGTATGTACTATGTATATACATGTCTCGGATGGACGAGACGAGGCAAATGAGGCAACCTGGTTTCAGGAGGTAGACGGGCTGGGTCAGGCCGGCGATGTGGCCATGCATGACGGATTTGCAGGGCAGGGAATGGCATGGGCTTGGAGAGGGGGAGTGGGGAGCGAATGGCTCGGCGTAGTGCGGATAGTCGAATATGGTAGACCAGTGTCTGAGGTTGCCGTATGGACACGCACGCATAGAGAGAGGCACACAGGTACGGGAGGGAGAGGCACCTATACACACAGATCGGTCGACACATCGATACATGGGGGTGCGGCTTATTCGCATGCAGCGTCGAGGAGGTGCATATTGTGAGACGAGAGTCTGCGTGGCCGTGGTTGGTGGTTGGGTAGGGCCCCTGGGGCATGGCCTGTGCGCTTAAGCGGCGTGCTGGCGGTGAGAGGCCCGTCTAGCGCAACCAAGAGAAAGTCGAATCAAGTGCTGGCAGGTGTTCGCATGTTTCCAACCACACCGTTTGTCCTTCTCACTCCTGGGGATGCTGTCAAGCCTGTGACCTGCAGCGCCATCCACTGCTGACCACGACGACGAGCAGCAGCAGTAGCTTCACGACAACAAAGCCAGCGGCCGCACTTATATCGCGAGCTGAGCGTTGACCATCCGCCCCCCCCCTCCCCTCCTTACAGGGAGCCGCTTTGGACCCTGATATTCCGCACCGCCATTTGGAGGACATAGACGACGCAGGAGACGACGCCTGCGACTGCCCACCATGGCTCACATCTACGATATCGGCACCCGCGCATGGCAGCCCGACACCACCGAGGGCTGGGTTGCCTCCGAGGTGACGGACAAGCAGATTGCGGGGGATAAGGTGACGCTGGTCTTCACTCTGGAAAATGGCGAGGTACTCCCACACCCACACCCATGGACGGCGAAGCCTGTTGGAAGAGGATACTGATCATGTATTGTACAGACCAAGACAGTCGAGACGACTCTCGACGCCATCCAGACTGGCAACGACGACAAACTGCCGCCATTGATGAACCCCGCCATGCTTGAGGCTAGCGACGACTTGACCAACTTGTCGCATCTTAACGAACCGGCTGGTACGACCTCCTCTCTACACACACAGACAAATTCGCATGTCATACTGACCAGCATGCAGTCCTCCAGGCCATTAAGCTTCGTTACTTACAAAAAGAGATCTACACATATTCGGGTATTGTCCTGATTGCAACGAATCCCTTCGCCCGCGTCGACTCCCTATATGTTCCCGGCATGGTACAAGTTTATGCTGGCAAACAGAGATCATATGGCGCTCCGCATTTGTTCGCCATTGCTGAAGAGGCTTTTGCGTAAGAATTTCCCTCCCGCTCCGCCACTGGCACGGAACTTGGGCAGTAGTGACTAACATGCCACAGCGACATGTTGCGCGACCAGAAGAACCAGACCATTGTCGTTTCTGGAGAGTCTGGTGCTGGTAAGACGGTCAGCGCCAAATACATCATGCGATACTTTGCCACACGAGAGTCTCCCGACAACCCGGGCAAGCGGAGAGGCAAGTCCGACCAGATGAGTGAGACAGAAGAGCAAATTCTGGCTACCAATCCCATCATGGAAGCCTTTGGTAACGCGAAGACCACGCGAAACGACAACTCGTCTCGTTTCGGTAAATACATTGAAATCATGTTCAACAAGCAGACGGACATTATCGGTGCCAAGATCAGGACATATCTGCTCGAACGGTCAAGACTGGTGTTCCAGCCGCTTAAGGAGCGCAACTACCACGTTTTCTACCAGCTGGTAGCCGGTGCTACCGACGAGGAGCGTGAGGAGCTTTCGCTCAAGTCGGTCGAGGAGTTCAGCTACCTCAACCAGGGTAGCGCTCCCGTTATTGAGGGCATGGACGACGTTGCTGAATTCAAGGCGACAAAGCAATCGCTGACCAAGATTGGTGTTTCGTCCGAAACCCAAGACGGCATCTGGCGCCTGCTTGCGGCCCTTTTGCACATGGGAGATGTCAAGATCACTGCGACACGAACAGACTCAAATCTTTCTCCCGAGGAGCCCTCTCTCGTCAAGGCCTGTGCCCTGCTCGGAATTGACGCAAACACGTTTGCCAAGTGGATTGTAAAGAAGCAACTCATTACCAGAGGAGAAAAGATTGTTTCCAACCTGACACAACAACAAGCTATCGTCGTCCGAGACTCGGTTGCCAAATTCATCTATTCAAGTCTGTTCGACTGGCTAGTAGAGCGAACCAACGAGAGTTTAGCCACAGAAGAGGTTATTGCGTCTGCCCACACCTTCATCGGTGTTTTGGATATCTACGGTTTCGAGCACTTTGCAAAAAACTCTTTCGAGCAGTTCTGTATCAACTATGCCAATGAGAAATTGCAGCAAGAGTTCAACGCACACGTCTTCAAGCTCGAGCAGGAAGAATACATGCGTGAAAAGATCGATTGGACTTTTATCGACTTTGCCGACAACCAACCGTGTATCGACCTGATTGAGGGCAAGCTCGGTATCCTGTCCCTCTTGGATGAAGAGTCTAGGTTGCCTATGGGTTCCGACGAGCAGTTTGTCACCAAGCTCCACCACAACTACTCGGGAGACAAGCACAAGTTCTACAAGAAGCCTCGATTTGGAAAGTCTGCCTTCACCGTTTGCCACTACGCCGTCGACGTCACATACGAGTCTGATGGCTTCATTGAGAAGAACAGAGATACTGTGCCCGACGAGCACATGGAAGTCCTCAAGGCCTCAAGCAACAAGTTCTTGACTGAAGTGTTGGACACTGCTGCTTCGATCCGAGAAAAGGAGACAGCCAGCACTGCCTCTGCCAAACCGGGTGCTGCAGTCTCAGCTGGACGCAGGGTGGCTACCAACCGAAAGCCAACGCTTGGTGGTATCTTCAAGTCTTCGCTCATCGAGCTCATGCAAACCATCAATTCGACTGATGTTCACTATATCCGTTGTATCAAGCCCAACGAGGCAAAGGCTGCCTGGCAATTTGATGGACCCATGGTTCTGAGTCAATTGCGTGCTTGCGGTGTCCTCGAGACGGTCAGAATCAGTTGTGCCGGTTACCCTACCCGATGGACGTACGAAGAATTCGCCCTCCGTTACTACATGTTGGTCAGGTCCTCCGAATGGACACCGGAAATTCGCAACATGGCCACAGCCATTCTGAAGAAGGCTCTGGGCACTGGCAAGAACGATGGCACCGACAAGTACCAGATGGGTCTGACCAAGATCTTCTTCCGCGCTGGTATGCTTGCATTCCTTGAGAACCTGCGTACTGCTCGCCTCAACGATGCGGCCGTTATGATCCAGAAGAACCTTCGTGCTAAGTACTACCGCCGCGTCTATCTCGAGATGCGCGAAGCTGTCATCTCGGTTCAGTCATTGGCTAGAGGTTACATGACCAGAGAACGCGCTGAGGAGGCACGACAGGTCAGGGCTGCGACCACCATCCAAAGAGTCTGGAGGGGTAGCAAAGACCGCAAGCGCTTCCTCTTCGTCAGGAACTCGGTCATCAAATTCGAAGCTGCCGCGAAGGGATACCTTCTCCGCAAGAACATTCTGGACAAGAGGCTTGGAGATGCTGCTCGTATGATCCAGCGTAACTGGCGCAAGCAGCGTTACATCCGCGCCTACAAGAAGCAGATCAAGCAAATCATCACTGTTCAGAAACTGTGGCGAGGACGAAAGGCTCGCAAGGAGTACAAGGTCCTGCGCGCCGAATCTCGCGATCTCAAGAACATCTCCTACAAGCTGGAAAACAAGGTCGTCGAGCTTACTCAGAACTTGGGTACGATGAGGGAACAGAACAAGTCGCTCAAGTCACAAGTGGAGAATTACGAGAGCCAGATCAAGTCATACAAAGAACGCAGCCGAACTCTCGAGAACCGCCAGAAGGAACTTCAGGCCGAAGCCAACCAGGCTGGTATCACTGCTGCCAAGCTCAGCCAGATGGAGGACGAGTACAAGAAGCTGCAGATCAGCTACGAAGAGAGCACTGCCAAGATGCGTCACTTGCAAGAAGAGGAGAAGGAGCTCCGCGCTTCGCTCAAGAGGACTACCGAGGACCTCGAGCAGTCAAAGAGGAGGAGCAATGTCACCGAGACAGAGAAGATGTCGCTCCGCCAGCAGCTTGCCGAACTCCAGGAGCAGGTCGAGTTGATGAAGCGCTCTGGACCAATCCCCAGCGACCTCAATGGACATGCTCCAAGCATTGCGCCCAGCAGCTTGATCAAGCTCGTCTCGTCGAAGAAGCCAAAGAGGCGCAGTGCCGGACCCGACACTCGCGACATCAACCGCTTCAGCGAACAATACAACCCTCGCCCTGTCTCCATGGCGCCTGGCTCCACCATCCACAGGCAGAACCTGTCCGGCTCAACGTTTGCTCAGCTTGACAACGTCGAGATGGAGCTTGAGAACATCCTTGCCGAGGAGGACATGCTCAACGACGAGGTTACTCTTGGACTCATCAAGAACTTGAAGATCCCATCACCCACTACCACACCTCCTCCCACCGACAAGGAAGTCCTCTTCCCTGCCTACCTCATCAACCTCGTCACTTCGGAGATGTGGAACAATGGCTTCGTCAAGGAGTCTGAGCGCTTCCTTGCCAACGTCATGCAGTCGATCCAGCAAGAGGTCATGCAACACGATGCCGAGGATGCCATCAACCCAGGCGCCTTCTGGCTGTCTAACGTCCACGAGATGTTGTCCTTTGTCTTCCTCGCTGAAGACTGGTACGAGCAACAAAAGACGGACAACTACGAGTACGACCGCCTGCTTGAGATTGTCAAGCACGACTTGGAGAGTCTTGAGTTCAACATTTACCACACCTGGATGAAGGTGCTCAAAAAGAAGCTGCACAAGATGATCATTCCCGCCATCATCGAGTCGCAATCGCTACCTGGCTTCGTTACCAACGAGAGCAACCGCTTCCTTGGCAAGCTGCTCCAGGGCAGCAACACCCCTGCTTACAGCATGGACAACCTCCTCACCCTGCTCAACAGTGTCTACAAGGCTATGAAGGCATACTACCTTGAGGACTCCATCATCACACAGTGCGTCACCGAGTTGCTGAGATTGGTTGGTGTTACCGCCTTCAACGACCTGCTCATGCGCCGCAACTTCCTCTCATGGAAGCGTGGTCTCCAGATCAACTACAACATCACCCGCATTGAGGAGTGGTGCAAGTCTCATGATATGCCTGAGGGTACTCTGCAACTTGAGCACCTTATGCAAGCTACCAAGCTGCTTCAACTGAAGAAGGCTACATTGAACGATATTGAAATCATCCAGGACATTTGCTGGATGTTGAGCCCTAACCAGATCCAGAAGCTGCTCAACCAGTACCTTGTGGCAGACTATGAACAGCCCATCAACGGCGAAATCATGAAGGCTGTCGCATCCCGAGTGACGGAGAAGAGTGATGTTCTGCTGCTCACGGCAGTCGACATGGAGGACAGTGGCCCATACGAGATTGCGGAACCTCGAGTCATTACTGCATTGGAGACATACACGCCATCATGTAAGGTCTCTTTTCATTAAATTCCTTTTTTTGGATTGCTCAAACATATCTAACACGTCTGTAGGGCTTCAAACACCCCGCCTCAAGCGCCTTGCCGAGATAGTGTCTCAGCAGGCTATTGCGCAACAAGAGAAGCTCGAGTTTGACGACGACATGCCCGCCGGCCAATCCAACGGCGACGCCATGAACGCTCTGACTGGCGGCATGGGCATGAACGGCGGGGGAATGAATGGACACGCAACGATTGAAGAAGGTATTGAGGCATGAACTTGAGCATATTTGTAAGCGAAAATTTGGCATTTAGACATGACCGAGACGAAGCATTAAAGAAAGCCTTATCGTTTTCCCCCGAATGTTTGTAGTTGTAGCTGTCTGTCTCTCTGACTGTGTAGGCTGGGACCTGCATGAAAGGAAAGGCAAAAAAAGGGCGGTACAATTGCTGGGGGTTGGTATCGACGATGATGACGACGAAGATGGAGCGTATTGATTTTCTCTACTTCGCTTTATTTTGGGTTGGGTTATTTAATGCTGGGAAATATGAGATTTTTTGTCTTCTTCAACTCTTACTGATTGTTTGCCTGGCGTAACCAGATGCAAGCCCCTTTGGAGGAAAGGTTCAAGTAGGTTTCCAGAATGTTTTCCATAAGTCGCGCACAATTAGTCGTCACATGCATGGAGCGGCAGTTGACAAGATGGCCAGATGGGTATGCGGCACGACCGGCGGTGCCCCATGTGGAGACGGAAGCGAAGTTGCGATTCTTGTCCGTAAAGTATTGGTTACGTAGGCGCAATGCGGGATAAAAGGGCTTATTCGGACATGGCAATGCGGCAGTCAGAGCTGGGATACTCTAGCCGTGGTAAGTATTCGCAGGTGAAACTCCGAGCCACATGCATGAGGAGCATACGTAAGTGACAGGTGGGAAAGGGCAACGCGCCAAGATTCGCCCGGCCCGCGCCCAGTCCAAAGGACGCTAGGTAACGCTTCCCCGTTTCTGGGGCCCTACACTGGTCCCCGCCTTCATCTCATCAAGCGAACACATGGCCAAACCCAAAGATAGCTTGCTGACGGAGTTCCCCTTGTTTCCTTTTTCCCCTTTTGCGTCTTCCCTTTCGCACTTTTGTTATTTATTATTATTTTGCCAAAACTCGATGATCTAGCAGAAAAGAAGAAGTAGACGATAAGGAAAAGAAACAAGAGCAAGAAGAAGATAAGGATACACCGACCAACTTCCATTCACTCTCTTTTGTGGTGCCCTCTTCTGAGCCTTTTCTTCTCTGGTTTCCCACAATCTTTTATTTGGCAACCTGAGATTTCCCTGCGTTAGACCCAATCGAACGGTAGTAGGACAGAGTACATACACACGAACCGCCCAATGCGCCTTCCCACGTTTCCGTAGACAGCCAGAGACACGCAGAGAGAGAACCTTGGGGCTGCACACGTCAGACGCACGCGACCGAGTCCCGCTCTTCCCCCCCACACCCCACGCCGTCTTTCCTTTTTTTCTCTTCCTTTTCCATACGTGGGAAGGGAGCTAGAAGGAGAGAAAGAATCACGGTAGACGGGCAAAGAAAACTAAGGGGAAAAGAAAGATGCCATCTGTTGCGCAATGGCGGGGGACACCCTCAGTAAAGGGCCCAACTGAGGGTATACGCATGGCACTGCTAACTGCGTCACTCATTGGACTTCAGTACGTTTGACTAAGGGACTTTTTTTTTGTGTCACCAATTGTCCTCCAATTTGCTCTTAAATACGAATACCAAACTAACGCCTGGGGTTTTCAAGGTTCACGTGGAACGTAGAAATGACATACTGCACGCCCTACCTCCTCGAGCTCGGCCTCACAAAGTCCAAAATCTCCCTCGTATGGGTCGCCGGTCCACTGTCGGGTCTCATCATGCAGCCCGTTGTGGGCGTCGTCGCCGACCGATCTACCTCGCGCTGGGGCCGGCGGCGCCCGTACATGTTTTTCGGAACGATACTGGTATCCATGTTTTTGCTGCTGCTGGGCTGGACAAAAGAAGTCGTGCGGTACTTTATCAAGGACGAGGCGGCGGCAAAGAGCGCAAACGTATACGTGGCTGTGTTTAGCATTTACGGAATTGACTTTGCCATCAATGCGGTGCAGGGGAGCTGTAGAGGCTTGATTGTGGATACGCTGCCAATTGAAAAACAGCAGATGGGGAGTAGCTGGGCGAGCAGGATGGTGGCAGTAGGCAAGATGGTGGGATATGCGGCTGGAGCTGCGGATCTCAGGGCAATTTTCGGTCCCATGCTAGGTGATACGCAGTTCAAGCAGCTGACGGGTGTTGCGGCGCTGACTTTGTGTATTACTGTTGCTACGACAAGCTGGGCAGTCACGGAGAGAGTGTTGGTGAACGATGGTATGGCAAAGGCTTTGGATATCAAGCAGGTGGTTGGAACAATTGCGCATACTGCGCTCAATTTACCAAGAAGTATACAAGCCATCTGTACAGTACAGTTTTGGGCTTGGATCGGTACGTTTTTTTCTTCTTCTTCTCTTTCTTCTTGAGTTCCAAATTCGGTGGAATAGTGACACAAGTTAACAAAAATTCGAACAGGCTGGTTTCCTTTTCTCTTCTATAGCACCACATGGGTCGGCGAAGTCTACCTACGGTACGATGCGCCGCCAGAAATTAAAGCAGCCGGCGACATGACGGGCAAAGTCGGGAGAATCGGCTCGACGGCTCTTGTTTCCTTCTCAATCGTGACATTCATAACGTCTGTCCTGCTGCCCTTCTTCGTCGAGAACCCCGAGCATAGCGAAAAGGGCCCCGGCTTCTCACCCTCGTCCAAACGCAAGTTTGACGCGGGACCCTGGGAAAAACGCAAGCCAAGTCTGCTAACGGCATGGGTCGTTGCACACTGCATCTTTGCGTGCAGTATGAGTATGGCGCCTTTTGTGACTTCCATAAAACACGCGACTATCATCATTACTCTCTGTGGCGTGTAAGCACATCCTTTTCCTGGATTTTTTTCTGTGATGAATTGTGAGCTGACGTTGCATTAAAATGATTAAAGGTCATGGGCAGTTGCTTCATGGGCGCCATGGGCATTGATGGGCGTAGAAATCAACCGCCTAAACATGGCTACGGCGCACTCGACACATTCGAAGCGGGCCTCGATTGACCTCTCCGAGGCGCAGGATAAGCTGGAAAAGGCGGACGGAGCAGGTGCTGGATCGGGTAGAGGAGGAGCAAGCTCAGGGCGGTATCTGGGCATCATGAACCTGTACACGACACTGCCGCAATTCATGGGCACCGCCATTTCTTGGGTCGTCTTCTCCATCCTGGAACCGGGCAAGAGTCCCGAGCTGAGTGAGGCGCCGCCAGAGGAGCATCACAGCACGGATGGACCCAACGGTATTGCTGTCTGTTTGTTCATTGGAGCGTGTTCGGCATGTCTCGCGGTAGTGGCCACTTTCAGATTGGGCAGGATCCAGGGAAAGATGTAGGAGAGGGAGAGCAGCCATCCATGTGTGGCATAATATGGCTCCAACACTAAAGGCACACAAAACTTTTTTTCTTCTTCTTCTTTGCCGCCTCCGTGTGCAAGCATCAAGGGTCGCAATCTGTACAATACATACCATACATTATCCGAACTACCTCCGTTTTCCTCGAACCCTCGCCCCAGCAAAGGCATCAGCGATGAAGGCAAAATGCGAGCTGACGCGCTAGGCGGGATCGGGGCCCAGGAGAGATTTTGCTCTAAGATTTTCTAGTGGCCCGCTTTGTTCTAGAAGACAGGTGTGGCTCTGTCGGTGGTACAGTTCCGGGCATCGGGAGGGATAGAAGGTGTAGTCATCGTCGGCACATACGTGTATGTGACGATGTGTATCGATCGAGAATGGTGACATGGTCATGATGATGATGCTGAGGGTCCCTGCTCTGACGAGCAGTGCAACGTGGATGAATCAGGTCGGGCAGCTGGCGAGGGTTTTCGTTGAGGTCAAAGGGCCTTTTTTTTCCTAATCTCTATCTAGGTGGGTGGAGATGGGGAGGGGGGCGCATGGCATAAGTGTGCCGTCTCCAGGTTGCAGTTGCTCGACTACGGCTACAGCATCTGCTCGCAGTTATCCGCATCGGCGGCCAAGGTCGGCCACGCATGGATGCAGCAGCGCGGTGACAGTGCGGGAGCGGGTTGCAGGGCAATGGGAGGCGGTAGAGGCTACTGGGCACAAGCTGCACGCAAGACTGAGGCCGTCTGTGGCCAGAGAGGGAAGAGGGCCTTGAGTCGTCCGTTGCGCGTGCCACGCCACGCCGGGCCTGGGAAAAGACGGTCAGGGTACAAAACCATCGGGGGCCCGGCTGGCCTGCGCGCCACAAGCTTTCTTTCTTTCCAATTCCCAGCGGCCGCCTTGAAGAAAGCCAGCTTGATTGTTGCTGTTGCTCGTCGTTGCACTCTCTCTCGTACGCGCTCATCCACGCATCCCCCCCGGCTCGCCCTCGATCCCTTGTATTTTCACACTAGGCGCAACTAGGCTCGTCCCTAGAAAACAACCCTTGCCTCGACTCAACCGCCGAAACATTTCCATCTCTCCCCAACCACTTCGCTTCGCCACTCTTGCATCCACACCACTCATTCGCCAAGATGTCTGAGCCGATCCGCAATAAGAAGATGGATGCCATTACCGCTCCGTAAGTAGTTTTTGACTCGATTTTTTTTTCTGCCCGACGTCCCCCGAGCTTTTCGTCTCCTTCCTCCACTATCCCTCCATCACAAACTCCAACCAGCCCCTCGCCTCGTTTCCCCCCTCCACTCCCCCTCCATACATCATCCAACATGGACGTCCCTCAGTCTAACGTCCGCCCGACCAGCACCCCCCAAAACACGCCTGCAAATGCCGCCCCGATATCGTCGCGCGCCCAGCAGCCCGGTGTTGGCACCATCAAAGAAGGTACGTCGCGAGAAGGAAAAATCCTTGTTGTTGCTACTGCCCCTCCAACCCCGCCCTGCCCTGTTTGTCGCACGCCCTGACCGCCAATCTGACTTTTTTTTCTTGTTTCACAGAGGACATGGAGCGCACTGCCGCTGGACTTTTTGCTGCCAACCCCGCCCTCGTCGCCATGATGCAGAACAAGCTCGGCTCGCTCGTCGGCCGCTCCAGCGGCTACATTGAGTCGCTTCCCGCCTCGGTTCGCCGCCGCGTGGCCGGCCTCAAGGGCGTCCAGAAGGAGCACTCGAAGCTCGAGGCTGAGTTCCAGGAAGAGGTGCTCCAGCTCGAGAAGAAGTACTTTGCCAAGTTCACACCCCTGTACCAGACGCGCCAGAAGATTGTCAACGGCGCCGAGGAGCCCTCAGAAGAGCACGTCAAGATTGGCGAGCAGCAGCAAGAGGACGATGAGGATGAGGACCAGCCCGAGGCTGAGCTCAACAAGGACGAGGGCAAGGACGTCAAGGGTATTCCCGAGTTCTGGCTGAGCGCCATGAAGAACCAGATCTCACTCGCCGAGATGATCACAGACCGCGATGAGGCTGCCCTCAAGCACCTCACAGACATTCGCATGGAGTACCTTGACCGCCCTGGTTTCCGCCTCATCTTTGAGTTTGAGGACAATGACTTCTTCACCAACAAGACCATCACCAAAACCTACTACTACCAGGAGGAGAACGGCTACGGTGGTGACTTCATCTACGACCACGCCGAGGGTGACAAGATTGAGTGGAAGGCTGGCAAGGACTTGACTGTCCGTGTCGAGAGCAAGAAGCAGAGGAACAAGAGTAAGTTTTTCTGATGATGTTCTTTTTGTCGCACGACAAGACGCTAATATGATTCTTTGCAGACACCAAGCAGACGCGCGTCGTTAAGAAGACTGTGCCTACAGAGTCGTTCTTCAACTTCTTCGACCCACCCAAGCCCCCACAGGACGATGATGACGCCACCTCCGACATCGAGGAGCGTCTCGAGCTCGACTACCAGCTTGGTGAGGACATCAAGGAGAAGCTCATTCCCCGCGCTATTGACTGGTTCACCGGCGAGGCTCTTCAGTACGAGAACATTGAAGACTTTGACGAGGGCGAATTTGAAGACGAGGACGACGAGGATGAGGATGAGCTCAGCGATGACCGCGAGGAGGAAGAGGAGTCTGACGACGAGGTAGGCATTGACAGCGATTCGATATATCAAAACACCACTAACACACACTTGCAGAACGACGGCACAAAACCCAAGCAGGAGGCTGCCGAGTGCAAGCAGAGCTAAATGCATCAGCCTGCACCACATCTCACATTACCAAGAGCGTAATCTCCCGAGTCGTTCAGGGCGGAATATTCATCTTGGACTGCTACAGCATGGGTCCATGGCGATCTCGGCTTGCCACGACGTTTCCACGAATCTTTATATCCAACACCACTTTTCCATGACTTCTTACCTGGCGTAATACTTGCATCAAGAGAGCGCAGGGGCAATGGTTGATTGGGGTTACCACGAACTAGCCATATCACCAAGTATTCTAGACCTCCCACCCTTTCTACACACATCCCCTTTTATCAGGTTCATGGCCCACAACCAACGATCGCTTAGCATAAACGGCGTTGTCTAGGTGGGGTTTTGCTGCATGTATTTTCCTTGGGATTGCAAAGGGGCCTTGATGTTTTACGATGGCAGTAGAATGGCGTAATCAGGCTCGAATGCGTGTCATGAGTAAATGAAAAGAAAAAGTTTGAAGCCCCATGGTTGGACCGTGTGATGTTTGTGCGTGGGGGATGTTCATTGTGACGTATCAGAGCGAATAGAACCGTAATTGTGTATGATGCGAGTGGGCGTTGATTTGAAAGGCACACCATCGGAGTTGATTGTAAAAAATGTCTTGTGACAACGACCCTGCATGCTTTGACTTTTTTCCTGTTGAACTACTAATTGCAGGCCAGCGGCGTTGGAGACTGGCTGCATATTTTCCTACTCATTCTTTTGGGACCGTTATTGTGTGCGGAATGAATACGTAGCGCGGGGTAAAGTTAGCGGCACAGTGGGGGGCCAACCGGGTGAAGTTCGGGAAATGGAGGGCGGCGGGGGGGAAAGTTCTTGGGAAAAATAATTCTAGGCAGCCTGTGGTTTACACAACGACCAACTTTTTGTTTGTAACGCGACCTCCGCTACATAGCAGATACTTCTGTTACCTTTTTAATTGTTCGCCTACGGTAACAATTGGCCAAAAAAACTCCCACACGAGACGAGAGAAGAAGAAAAGGACCGGTATTTTGCTCCAGGCGCATACGGTACTAGAGAGAGAGAGCATTCCGAAGCCGCGAAACGTTGAACCAGAAAAGAAGGAACAATGGGGCGCACAAATCCCAACATTGTAATAACGGGTACACCGGGTGTAGGCAAGACGACGCACGCAGAGCAACTGGCGCAAGCAACGGGGCTGAAGCATTTATCTGTGAATCAAATTGTGAAAGATGAGGGGTTCCACGAGGGCAAAGATGAGGAGACGGGGAGTTGGATTGTAGATGAAGACAAGGTATGCTTATTTCCTCTCTCTCTCTCCTCTTACATCCTAACACATCCCTTTTTTTCCAACGCGAGATGTAATTTCTAACCCTCACTCGCAAAAAGCTCCTCGACTACCTCGAATCCCTCCCCTTACACTCAACCGGCGGCTACATCCTCGACTGGCACGCCTGCGACCTCTTCCCCGAACGCTGGATCGATCTCGTCGTCGTACTGCGGTGCGACTCGTCTATCTTATACGACCGCCTTACCGCACGCGGCTACACGGGCAAGAAGCTAGAGGAGAATATGGATAGTGAGATTATGCAGGTGTTGCTGGAGGAGGCGAGAGAGGCGTATCGAGAGGAGATTGTGGTGGAGCTGAGGAGTGAGAGTGCGAAGGATGTTGAGGGCAATTTGGAGAGGTGTGAGGGGTGGGTTGAGCAGTGGAGGAGGGATAATGTGAAGGAGGGAGAGGAGAAGGAGTAATGAGGAGAAGGGGTGAAATGAAATAACGGCAAGGGGGAGGGGGGGATGTGTATGATACCATTGTAACGATTATGAGTTTTTTTTTGTTTTCTCTTTTTCTTTTGGGGTATTGGAGATTCTAGATGGTGCTTGCTCTCCTGCTAGGTGGAGTGTAGTATAAGCTCAAGCTGACTCCGTCTTACTCGCCAACCACTCCTTCAATTTCTCCAGCGCCTTACCCCTGTGGCTAATCTTGTTCTTCTCGCTCTTATCCATCTCCGCATACGTCTTGCCTTCGTACTCGAAGCATGAATCCCAACCTACATCCACTTTATTAGCAAAAATCACTTGAAGGAAGTAAAAAAAAGAGAGAGAGAGAGAAAAACGTACCAAAAACAGTAGATCCCCGACTCTCAACCAACTTTCCATCCGTCCTTCCCTGGAACAAAATCGCTTCGTGGCCTGGTCCCTCGCAGTACCCAAAGGTGCAGACTGCCTGGGCGGATTTATCGTCGAAGCCTGCGAGGAGTTTGTGGAGGTTTAGGGGGCCGAGGGAGAGCATGAACCATTTGCTGTGATGGTTAGGTTAAGAGAAAGAGCAGGGAAGGGGGAGGGGAAGGGGAAGAAGACGTACATGTAGGGGCCGGGAAGGTCGTTCATGGCAGGGAAGCAGAGGCAGGTGTCTTCGACTAGGACGGGGCCTTTTACCTGGGGGGTGAGGGAGTTAGTACGTTCTGAAGAAGAAGAAGAAGAAGAAGAAGAAGAAGAAGAAGAAGAAGAAGAAGAAGAAGAAGAAGAAGAAACAAGACTCATGCTTGGATGTTGCTGGGTTGAGACATATATGCTCCTCTCCCACTTTTCTGTGGGTCTTCAAGTTAGAGTATGTGTAATTATCGAAGAACTTACTGCTTCAGCGGCTCGTCGCGCCTTATCTCTCGTCACTTCTTCGACTGTGCCTTGGATCTCGACTAGATCGACATTCTGGTTTCGCAGCTCAATGACGCCGTCGAGGATGGCTTGGACTTCGGCGAGCTTGTTTTTGTTGCCGGTTATGAAGTTGAGATGTTTGGGAACTGATGCGGAGGCCATTTTTGGATTTTTTTTTTTTGGATATCTCAATTGTGGATTGGCGCTTATCTTGTGCGGTGATGAATTTATGATAGGGGGGTTTTTTTTTCAGTCTTGCTGTGTGCTGAGTGTTAACAATCAAGCATTGAAACCGCAAATCATGTGTTTTGATATACCTTGTTCTCGGACTCTTATTCCGCTGATTGTTAATCAGCGTCTTGAAAATTTCGAAATGACTACAATGGCGGAATTAGCAGATGTGCAGGTGTAAAGGGCGCAGTTTTGGCGTCAAGCCCACGAAGCGGTAACATTAGCCTGTATTCTGTAGTAAAGGGCGTAATCCACCAACACTGCCACTTTGGTTTTTTTTTAGCGTCACGGAGGTACGTACAATCTAAGAGATGTGTTCCTCACACGATGTTCTGATTACAGAGTCAGTCTTGCAGTCATGTTGATAAGACCGAGGGGTTCTATGATTAGCTTCTCACTTGTACTAGTAAGCGAGCTGAACAGGGATCCTGTGCCTCAAATGTAACCGTGGCCGACAAACCATTACCCTCAGCCGCATCAATCACACCCTGCTATGTACCTGCATAGACACCTGGTGTCCTCGAAATTACCCATTTCCAGCTTAGAAAGACGTGTATAATCGCCGAAGCGAAAAGAGCCTCATGGCTTGAGGCTGAGCTTTTCACCGTCATTCCGTCTTCCCAGCGACAATCACGACACCCACAACAGCTGATCCTTATCACGGCGCATAGCGGAGCTGGGCATTTTCCGTTTCCTGGATCTCTTCACCGAAAATTACACTGTACACTGCCGCTTCGTCACCGCCAGAATGGGTTCTCTCAAGACGTTGTTTCTGGCAGTGCATGCCTCCAATGGCATAATAAGAGCTTTATTTCTGCCAGCATGTTATGTCACGCTCTTCAGTCCGATCGCACTGGCTATTGCATGGTACTTTGGCTTTTTACAGACACTTGAAAATCTCATACCCGAAGACTTTTCCTGGTTCGATCTTCTACCTCAATTCGCCATCTCAGCAGTCCTTTTCCTTTTGCCTACCAGATTCTTTTCGGCCTCAAGTAACGAAGTTAAGACTAAAGATGGGAAGAGACGGGTACAATCGCTTCCATACTGGATCCCAGGGTTCAGAAACCTCTGGAGTATCGCGCTTAGTGGCGAGGAGTGGTTAAGGAGCGTGAGGTAAGCGCGAATATTTCTTATACTATGGTATATGTACTTAACCATTTGCAGAGAATCATCAACCGCAAATGTGATTGCGTACAAGGCCGCAGGAACTCAACATAACGTACTGCTTTCAGAAACTTTACTCGCTCAGATCTACAAGAATTGGCAGAACCTGGAAAACCCGGACAACAACCTAACCGCCGTTCTTCGCAACGCATTCAAGCTACCTTCAGTAATGGAAAGCCACTATCTTGAGATATTACCGGAAATCAATCAAGTTGTCAAAACAGAACTGTATGGAGGACCGACTAAGGAGAACCTTATCAAAACGTCACTGAGTCTCTTATCCGAATCCCTTCCGGACCTCGTTACTTTCAATTCAAGCATTGTCGACCAGATGCAATGGGAACGTGTCTCGAACATGGAACTCACAGACGGTACATCGGAGGTCGAGTGCAATCTGTTCATGCTTGTCAATGAGTTTTGTTGCAACGCCATTCTGCCGCCGATTGTGGGAACTCATTTCACTGAATCCTATCAACTACTTCCTACGGACTTGGCTGCTCTCAACGAACGCTTTTGGGCACTCGCTCTTGGTTTACCACGGTTATCGCCCATTCAAGGCCTACCAGGATCAGCCTTGGCCCAGAAGAGATTGATACAGAATTTTGCAAATCACTTTGGGGACCTTACCAACCCACCAGTAAAGCGGGTGCCGGCTGATGACGAGAGTGTGAGCGGCGAGGAAGATACAGATGCTGATACAGTAACACCTCTAATGAAACTCAATCAAGTATTCTCCAAGCATGGTCTTCCAATGGAACTTCGAGCTTCGATTGCTCTCCACATTGTCCACGATATAGTCTCAGAAGTTGTACCGCTTGTTTTCTGGACGCTACTACATGTATACTCATCGTCGAAAGCGCAAGAGCCGAAGACTTTGGAAAGCCTGCCCCTCGGGAGGATCAAGAAAGAGACTAGAATCTGGGCCCAGGCTTTCCAACCGCCATCAATTCATCCCGCATTCCCGGCACCACCAGAGATACGTTTTGGATCAGCCAATCAAGTTCTCACTACGACCTTTTCACCTTATCTTCGCTCGTGTATCAACGAGGCTCGCCGTATGTACAGCTGCTCTGTCAGCGCGTACAAGATCAAACAGCCCATTACGCTGAAAGAAGAGGATGCTGTACGGACCGGCAAAGAGGAGGAATGGGAGCTAGAAGCGGGGACGTTTGTTGACATCGGCCTTTCTCAATCTATGATCAATTCATCGCCAGTATCGAATCCTGCTCCACAAACCTATAAGTCGGACCGCTTCCTCAATGCCCCGGTTTCATGTTCTATTGTTGCTCCGAACGACCTGTCAGAATCGTACAAGACTGCACTTATCATCCCGTTGGTTGCTGGTATCATGCAGCTATGGGAGATTGCCCCGGCGCCAAAGAAGAGCTTCTTTGACCAAATGCAGGAAGCAGGGAATGAAGCATCAATTGGCGCAGCCGCGCTTTCCGGCGAGGAAAAGGCGGCACGAGAGGAGGCCAACAGAGCGAGAGAGAATGCAAAGAGAAAGGACGCAAAATGGGCGCTTCCGACGGCCGTTGATGGAGCAAGCATCAAGGTTCCGAAGGCTGATGTCAGGGTAAGGATCCGTAAGAGGGAAGGTTTACCTACAAGTAAGATTGTTGGACGCATTGGCTAGCGAACCATTCTGAGACTTGAGCGAAGCGGGCTATCGCCCGTTGCCGGACTAGGAGATACCTTGTATACAATTACGCGAATAGTACGAGTTTCAAGTGTAACAGGTGTCACCGCGTGTCAAAAAACGCATGCATATCGGTGATTTTCTAGATGGCGAATGCTGACGGTCGGACCGTGATCCAGAGGTACGCCATACACACGTCTAGGCATACAAGCATTGGAGCGTGTCAAGTTCCGTGATCACCATCGTCGATGCCAATGCCTTTGAACTCGTAACCTCCAAAAAAAACGTCCTCGACACGAATCAAGACGAGAAAATCAATAAACTATCTTTTGCTATCGAACTTTGTGCCAAGTCAGCGATCGTACTTGTAGCTGGGTGTGTATCTGCCACATCACAATAGTCTTGTAACCTAGGCACTCGTACCCGTTTCCCCAAGTGCCCGAGGTGCGTCCACACGAAGAGAGCCACGATGCCCAAACCTCGATCTCGATCCGCAACCCTATCTATCTCCCTGTAGAGTGTATCTGGCATCACGATTATTCCCACATTAAAAACAAGGGGGGTAGTACGAGCCATGTGGTTCCATCAATGTACATATACACATACGTACATTGTACATGAAATGCACATGTACATCTCGGCCGCTGACGTCGGCCGCACATCACCCAACCAAAGTAGCGGTGAAAACCAACAAGGGGAAAGCGGGTATAGGGCAGGGCAGGGGTGTGTGTATGTGTGGAGGGGGTGGTGGATGCATACTTCTCTTACTTACAAGAAAAAACCCGCCCATTTGCCGATCGACACTAGAAGGGCAACCACGCATTCCACCCCATCAAAAACCATGACCTCCACATTACTCCATTACCGGACGTCGGGCTGTGCAAAAAGAAACGAGGAAAGAAAAACGCCCAAAACAAGCAACACCCCTGCAACTAAACAACCAAAGTAAGTACACACATCGAAACCATGTCCTAGCAACTATCTCTTCCCCTCTCTCTCTCTCGTTCTCTTTCTCCCTCTCCGCAAATCAGACACACACGCGCGCGCGTCTGCATATGATATGCCGCAGCATCCCCCCCCCCTGTGCCCTCATTCCCGTTTCCCCGCGAAACCAAGGCATAACGCAACAGGACACAAAAAAACGGAACATAGCGACGCTTAGACGCGCCGGTGAGGAGGCCAAGGCGTCCCGTCCCCCCAAAAGCGCGTGTGCGCACACACCCCCAACCTATGGAGAACGGGCAACGATCGGAGTGTTTTCTTGTCGGTCTCTCGCGTTCCACAGAGTCTAGAAGCCGAGCGGGTCGCGTTGTTTTTCGGGGGCGGGGGGAGGGAAACATGGGTTAGGTTTAAATCACCAGTTTTGTTAGCATTAGCTGAAAGGGAAATGTCGGAGGTGGCCGGGCGAGAGAGGCGCGTTGGTCAGGTGGCACTTTTGAGGCTGTTGGGTACATACGTGTATACATGCTACTTTTGGTGAGTTTTTTTCTGACAAGGTCAGGATGTTTTGGAGACGGATGAGACGGGGAGAGTAGGAGAGAAATAAAAGACGCAATCACGACATATGGGCTGATGACGGGTCCGGTAAGAATGAGGGGGTTTATTGGTGGTTTTTTTTAACTATTACTATGAAGAATGATGGGGGGGGAAGCAGTAAAGAGACTGGGGGGATACAGGTACCTTGGTGATATGCAATGCAAGCTTGGTTTGTGAAAAAAGATCTAGATTAAGACTTTGTGTAAGTAATCCGGAGCCTCGGGCGTCGGTGTGTATGTGTGGATACATGTCACGTGGTGAGTTGAAAGGCGGTCAGGGGGGATGGATGGCCTCAGTTGGGATATTTTCCCGAGGATAGTCGGTCTCTTTACACATGACTTGTTGAGTACGCGAGCTGAACGGCCCAGGAAGCCTCGAGCCGTGTAGAACATAAACTTTATAAAAGCCTCAAAGTGATATTTCCCCATCGAGAAGCACTACAGCTTCGGTATCAAGCCTTCCTAGCTCAGTGGTAGAGCGCGTCACTAGTAATGACGAGGTCGTCAGTTCAATTCTGGCGGAAGGCAACTTTTTTGCTGGTGGCATCGTGGCGCAAGTGTGGTAGCAATTGTGACAGTTGTGGGAATCAGTTGTCATGTCCCTGCATTGAAGGTGCCCGTTGCATTTGGTTTTTGACTGACCGCTAGATAACATTTTTTACACATGAATCGCAAAAACATATTCAGTTCAGTGCACTTTGTTTGTGTCGGAAGATTAATCTTTTTGTACCGCGCTTCATTGATTGTGCGACTATTTGCATATTCAGGGTGCACTGGCCAGTGCTGTCAACACAGACCACACACGACATTCGATTCAAGGCCTGGAAAAGCCATGCGTTCACAGCACAAAATGCGACAGGATGACTAGTGCACTAAAGGTGCATGAAATTGGAACTCGTCAATGTCATTTCCATGATACTTTTCCCGCACGACCTGATAACACCAGATGCGGATCGTACCCCATGCACGCCATCACTGCCGCGGACTCGCATGAAGGGTCATGTTTATCTTTTATTTGTAAACACAAACACCTTTGGAATGCCGATATCATGCCGCAGAAAGTTGAAAAGACCCAGAACCCCTTGGCTATCCATTGATACCCTTAAACCTGATCAAGGACAGTCTCCTTGAACTCACGCTCAACCTTCTGGCCAGAGTCGTCCTGGCTCGACTCGCCGTGGAGACCAAGGAGAGCACCAAGGTCGAACTTGGGTGCCTTGAGGAGCTTGACCTTTCGGACGTGGACCTGTGTCTTGTGTTAGCCTTTTTTTCTTGTCATTGCACATGGCGATCCTAGCAAGCACGTACGTTCTGGAGGGGGTAGATGCCCTGGGTGGCCTTCTCAATCTCACGACCAATGACCTCGGGGATGAGCTTCTGGGTGAGCTGAGCGAGGGTGCATGCGCTGGCGTCGCGGGTCATGATCTCCATCATCTTCTTGCGGATAGCCCTGATCTGCGAAGTTTGAGCGTATGTGGTCTTCTTGACCTGGTTTGGTCGTCGCTTGGTGAAGGCAATGCAGAAGAGGCGGATGAGGTAGTCATCGGTGGTCTTGACGACGACGTTGGCCTCGATGAGGGATTGCCACTTGCGGACGAGGGAGCGGAGCTTGTCGGAGGTGAAGTCGAGACCGTGGAAGTTGGTCAGGCAGTTCTTGCCCTGGACCTCGTCGACGCGAAGCTTGACCTTGCGGAAGGCGTGGTCCTCATCCTTCTGGAGATCGGCGAGCGAGACCTCGAATATCCGGCCCTTCAGAGCATCGTTTGCGTTCTTGAGACCAGTGGTACGGTTGACGAGGGTCTTTCCAACACTGCGAAGAACGTAGAGTAAGCATTGATTCCCCGTGTGTGTGGCAGCGGGAAGTCTTACTCTCGGACCGCGAAAGTTCCTGGGGCCTTGATGTTGTACCAGTCCTTCTTAGCGAAGGTGTCGGTCTTCTTCTTGAGACCCTTCTTTCCCTTTGAAAGACGCTTGTTCTTGCCGACAGCCATGATTGCGAGTCTTGTTGTCGGGCGTCGAGATGTGGTGGGTTGTCGTCGTCGATGTCGAAGAGCGAGAATCCAACGCCAATGTGGTGTTGAAAATCTAAGCGAGCCCAGTAGCGCATCACGTGCGCCAAGACCACACAAGGCCACGGCGATCCGCACATGTACCACTTTGACTGCAATGCAAAGTGCCTGGCTGGACAGCAATCTAGCAGATCAATATGTGGGAAATATAGGGCGATGTTTGGTAGGCAGAAGAAGCCAGCATCTTGTCTCTTTGTATTGGTTCTGAAGGGTTTGGGTGCTGCGCGACGTTTTGCTATCTATAGGCTGGACATGCACGGATTGACCTTATCATTGAGGCACAAGTAACATAGGTGTTAAACACCCGCGGCGTGCAGTCCATTGTTTGCTGATAAGGTGCGATGCGCGTGTGCAGCAGAGGAGCGAGTCCGGGCCTCAGCATGTGGCGATGGCGGGGGCGATGGAATCACCAGCACAACTTGAATCACGGAACAACATGTGAAAAGTATGGGTAGTGTGATAATGCATTGGTATTGTCATGTTATTACATCTAGTATACTTCTAATATGGGAGTGGGCTTGGTACGGGCTGGAAAACGCCTCACGTGCCTGGCCCCTCAACCTAAGGGAGCTGTGCTCATGCGCCTCCTTTAGCATCGTACCGACTCGAACACGTGCACTGCGGTGATATGACCAAAAGCAACAGCGCAGTGGCTGTGCGTGTAGTCATCAGACACCTGGACAGGCCGCTTCCTTCCACCCCACGTAACGTGCCGCCACGCACCTCCACGTCGCACAGGGCTGACAGTCTGACTTGACCTGCCTGCGCACAAATCATCGTGGAGGTAGCGTAGTGGCTCCAGCGCCGACTCAGCAGGGGGCTGGGTCAGATCGCTCAATAGGCTGTACATTGCTGACGCTCTGTAGCCTCGGATGCAGGCAAGGTGCGCTGCTCCTGGGAAGAGAAGTGGGGGATGGCCTGGTGAATTGGGTGGTAATGGGATTTGGGAGGTCCTGGCGCATGTCGAAGGGAGTCTTCGCTACATGACATCCTGAACCCCAGCGGGCCGTACGCTCAAGCCTTGACGTCGGTCTGCTGTTCTTGCTGGGCATATGGGCTTTCAGTCTGGCAGAACTTCTCAAAGTCTGGGAAGCTGATGTAGCCATCTAGAAGTAATGTTAGTGTCGTGTTGGGGGATAGAGAGGCATTGGTGAGATGTGCTTACCCTGCTGTCTGTATTGCCTGACGTAGCGATCACTCTCGGTCCGTGACATGGCAGGCCTGTCGGAAGGGTAGGATGGTTCCGAGTTGAGCCTGGATCTTGGCGAGAGCATTGGACTTCCTGGAGGGGTTTCGCCGCGAGGAGTGGTGGGCGAAGAGGCGACCTTTGCGAGGAGAATGGAGGCCTTGATTGGGCTTCCCGAAGTAGCAGAGTCGCGGCGAGAGGTGGTGGGAACCAGAGTAGTAAGACAGGGAGAAGAGACGGTTGATGGCGTCAGAGGAGGTCGTCGGCTTCCCGATCGGGAGCGTTGGGGCGCCTCGGTGGGCAGCGAGTAGTAGTAGCGTGGGTGGGTAGACATGGCGAGGGGTAATGTGTGTGTGTTGTAGTAGAGGTTGGATTGGTGTGTGTATGTGTGTGTGTGTGTGTATGTTGATATAGATGTTGATTGAGTAGACTGGAGGTGAAGAATGACGGACAGCGTTGCGAGCAGGTCGGGTAGTATAATAATGTGGTCGGAACTGCCTAGACGCGCTTCACCCCATGGTACCGAATGTATAGTGACGCCTCTGGTCGGCCCAGGCACCCTAGTCGACGCCAGCTGCATCAGCAGCCCGGAGCTCCCCACTCGACGTCGCTGGCGGTTTGGAGCTAGCGCGTGCATGTCGAAGAAGTGGGCACCGCCAGAAAACGTGGACGGTCAGAATTAGCCTGGGTGCCAGGGGACGTGGACGGACGGACGTGGTGTCTTGTCGGCCTCTGACGTGCCCTGACTCGCCCGCCCACACAGCGCCCGTCCGTCTCACCTCCATTTGCGCTGCAGGTGTGAGCTGGCCACGGCGCACACCACCCGGCTGACTGACGGACTGACTGACTGACTGACTGATTGATTGATTGACGGACTGACTGACGGCACTGTCACTGTCACTGGCACTGGCACTGGCACTGGCATTGGCACTGACACTCCCTCTCACACTGCCGCCCGCTCCCTCTTGATTGGCACCCTCTGCTGCTCCGTCACCGTCACCGTCACCGTCACCCTCCAAGTCCAAAAGCCTCTGCACTGCCGGAACTGCGGGTGCGCTGCCATAGCGGCGCCATAACAAGCAGCCCTTGGACCGTGGCATCGGCAGACCAGCCGTCGCCGTCACTGTCGCTGCGCAGTCATGACAAAACCAGGCCCATGGCCAACTGCACATCGGCCACTCTTCCTTGCCGGCCATCAGGAACCGCCCAAGGGCATTATACGCGCCCCCCTCATCGCCAGGCTCATCCCCATCGCCGCCGCCAGACCACCATGAGGCGTGTGCGACCTTGAGACAGGTACAGCACAGCGTCTGCATCAGCCTCGCTCATCTCCGCCCGGCACTCTTGCTGTCGCTGCTGCTTGTGCTTGCGCTGGTGACGACATGGCCCGCTGTGTCATGCATCCGCCCTGGCCGTCGACAGAGTCGAGAACGTCGCCTTGCCAAGCGCTTCCGGCTACTGCCCCTTTGCCAGGCATAGCACAACAGCATGCAGAATCACAATCATATCATCTGCCTCTATCATCTACACCGGTCGCCTCGAAATGACATACCCCTGGCTCCACTTCTGTCATCTATACTCATCTCTGCTGCGGCACGGCGATTGAGTGCAAGCCACGTACCGCCTCGCCTGCCCAGCACCACACAAGCCCCCAATCGTCTGGCCTCTGTCGTGTCTTTACCCGGGCGAATACTGCGAAACTTCCCTCTGCGAGACCGTGCCTCAAGTTCTGGAACAATTTGCTCCGCGCTGCGTCTCCACATCCACGTCAGCTGCTTTCACATGTTGCCCTCTCTTGCCATGTCTGTTGCCATGTCTATTTCCAAGCGGGCAACGCCCTGATTTGCCCATTAACATTCAATTACATGCATTTCCTCAGCTGAGCGCCTAGCATACCACATGTAGCAAAACAATTCAACAAAAAAAAAAGAACACGACAAAGATGCACACTAAGCAACATTTCGGAGCACTCTCACCCCATTGCTTGTACTTGCATCCTCTCAACTTCGCTCCTCGCTTGCACCTAGTGTACTTACGCACACATAGAGTTTGCAAAGACAAAATCAATCAATCCACTTCCCACGATGGATCTGAACACACCAAGACCCCCCGGCCCGCTTACATGCGAACTCACCAGTGCATTTATTAGCATCATGTCGTGCTGCCCAGTCCGTTCAATCTGCAACCAGGTTAGTCACACCGACGTGCATCATTGTCCCGAGAAGCGGGTACGCCTCCACGCCGTCATACCCGCGGCCGTTTTGCACCAACTTATCCGTTTTGGCACCCTCATCACCAAGTGCGAATCCCATCAACTTGTCTCGGCCCGGAATGATCAACCTCGCGTCCTAAAAAAGTGCTTGCTCCCCGGATTTTCGCTGCCCATGGCCATACTCTGCAAAAAGAGGAAGGTTGTCGTTTGAAGTGTTTTGTTGAGCATATTGGCGTCAAGTTGCCCCGCACCAAAGCAACGTCCTCACCACACCCTCAGCTTACAACGCCTCTGACCAGCTATAATTCTCCGCAAGTCCAGACACGCTCCTACGGCAGATCTCGCCGCCGATCCTATCCGGATGCTGGCATATACACCGGTCGCAATCATGACCTTGGTAGTGTTTGTTGAAGCAAGCGAATAGACAAGCGCCTATCACTGCAGCAACCTCCCACCAACGCTGCCGAAAAGCCTATCAAGATAGCCGCCACAATCCGTCTGACGGATGGAGAATGCACACTACGGCACATTCCCCATTCTCCGATTACCTATTGCAACCCACCCCCCAATCGGGCCCTCATCCTTACAAGCACATGAGGGTGAGCGGCAAGTTTATTCCCAGCACCTGCTACAGTTCCGATATTTTTCAGTTTGAACCAAGTCTGCATCAACCAAGGTAAACCAAGTGGGGGTACCAACAAAACGGGGTTTTTTTTTGCAAATCACAAAGCAAAGAAAAGCGTTGAAAAAAAACCAACCACAAGCAACGGAAGTCATCGTAAAAGAGCGGTAAATAACAAAGGCCAACCACAGATGCACACACACATCCACACTACATAAGCAAGACACCCAGCGATAACAAGGGGCGGTGACGAAGCAACAAGCCCGACCAGCGGGCCGCTCCCGGTGTCGGTTTCGCATCTTCCGTTTTGACAGCGCTGCAAAAAAAATCGCAGGCCGTGGGCGTGTGATCTCTTCCCAAATCTTCTTTAACCCCACCTCTGAAACACTCAAACCTGAACCAACGCATAAGTAAGCCAGTCGGTCATGTACACACATTCCAACCAAAAACTAGCCCAAACCACAACAACAAACTAAACAAACTTCCCTGATTTGCCGCTAAATATTATCGTCGTTGCTCGCTTCTGGCACACACACACACACACATACGCCAACCCCGCTTCTTCTTCCCCTCCACATGAGAGAGAGTGTGTGTGCTCGCCTACTACCTCTCTACTTACTAGTTCTACCTACAAAGCAATGCAACACTGAAAAGAAGCGCATCATGCGACCAAAAACGGCCTCTCGCATTCGCGCAGCACGTGCGCCAGGTGCGGGTAGGGCGCGCGAGGGCGAAAAAAAGGGGACCAGGTATGCCTGGATGGTGGGGTGTGTTTGTTCGACCCCTCCTCGCGCGTCTAGCGCTTGCTTGCCCTTCTTCCCGGTCTTTTCCAATTGGGTGAAGTCTGCTCTGTTTTTTTTTCTGCTTTACGAGCCTGGTTTATGTGTGTATGACTGGAACTTGGCTCAATGGATCCAAGTACGTACATACATACATCTGCTAGTCGTGGAGGTGTTGGAGGTAAGTGGAGGCCTAATATAGAGAGGGGAGCGATACTACTCGCTGTTGCTACTGTTGCTACGGCTGCTCCTCCACTCTTTCCTTCCCTTTGCCCCCGCTTCAAACGGCGAGGTGCCGGGCTTGTTGTTTCCGTTGGTTTCCTGTTGGAGTACATATGTGAGAGGGGGCATTGTTGCCTTCGATCCTTTGCATGTGGTTTTGTTCTAGCCAACTTGTTCGCAAAGAGGCAAAGAGGCAAGGCAAAGCCAACTAGATTTGGGGTCGGAAGGATCTCACAGACACATGTATGCATGCACTTTGGCAAGCGCGCATATGACAAATTATCACGGTGAAACGTATTTTGATATCTTTATTTTTGTCTTACATTTTTTGACACTACGTTTCAGGTTTCACTGACAACGAGGCTCATGCCCGCATGTACTTACATATCGCGTGCAATGCGGGTCCCCCCTCAGATGACCCTGCATTTGCGGTATAAGCACACCGCGCTGGCCATTGTGGCCCATGACCTGGTCACTCAATGCTAACACGAGTTAGTGTGATGATGACTTGGAAGCAAGGGGAAAAAGATAATGAAAAGCATGGCAGAAAGTGTAACTCACATCGATGTCTTCCCATCCACGACCTTTGACGTTTGCCAACTCATCCATGGACATGACATGTCCGGTTGTAACTGCGGTGATCCACGTCAGCAAAAATGCTCTGTCATCCCCCCTTTTTTTTGTACCCTCGCGCACATGACCGATAACAAACGATCACAATACCAACAATAGTAACAGCGACATCGAACGACAAAAGACAACAACAAAAGCACTTACAGTATCCAGCTTGGATCTTGGCGTCAATCTCCACTCGACTGTCAGCAGGAATCATCTCATCGGGAATAGGCACACGCTCGTGAATCGGGATGCCCTGCTCGACAATAGCATCGTGCTTCATGTTGGACATGCTAAGCATGCGGTCAATCTTGGTGATGCCCAGCCAGTGCAGGATATCGGGCATGAGGGCCTGGAAACGCATATCCTTGACACCGGCGATGTTCTCTGTACGCTTGAAGTACTCGCTCGCACGGTCTTCGCCGCGCTTCCTGGCATTGTACACGAGGTACTTTGTCACTTCGCCAAGGGCACGACCTTCCTTGCGGAAGTAAATGACTACGCCGCTGCCGCCGCGCTGTGCTTCCTTGACCGCCTCCTCGATGCCAAAAGTAAGGTAAGGGCGGCACGTGCAGATGTCGGAGCCAAACACGTCACTGCCGTTGCACTCGTCGTGGATGCGTAGGGCGAGCTTCGAGTTTGCGTCGGACATCTTTGCGGGGTCACCGAAGATGTAGACGGTCAGACCGCCAATGGGAGGGAGGAAGAGCTTGATGTCGTGGCGCGTGATGAGCTCGGGGTATGAGCCTCCTGTCTCTTCGAATAGTGTCCGGCGGAGAGTTCCCTCATCTGTGAACTTGGGGTTAGCTTCAAAGCAAATTGAGTATTGTGAGGCTGGGGGCTTACCAATGTTGAAACGCTCAGCCACGCCAGGCAGATACCATACTGGCTCCACAGCGACCTTGGTGACTGCGATTTCGCCCGTCTCATTGACGCAGATCTTGCCATCTGGTACCAGTCGGCCTTTCTTTACACTGTCCTCGAGCTCGGGCACCTTCATGTGAGCTCTTGTAATGGCAATGGTGGGTCTGATCTCCACGTCATCCTTGTCCATGATATCTTTGTACAGCCACGGTGCGAGATGGCCGTATGGATCCATAGCCACAATCTTCTTCTTGTCGCTCCATTGCGGGAACGGACCAATTTTAGCGGCAGGCTCAGTGTTTGTAAAGTCTGGCTTGTGCGTAATGTCGAGGTTCTTGCTGGCTACAGCAAGGGCATTGTAGATGGAGTATGAGCCTCCGTGGGCGCCAATAGCTGTTGGACTATTTAGCAAACCTTAAACCCAGACGAGAGACATTGGATACATACCATTGCGCCTGCGAATGGTGTTTGGATGTCTAGATACAACAACAGGACCACGCACAGCAGGGTCTTTGGCACCCCATTCCATTGGCAAGGGATCAACGCCAGCCTGGCCAGGGTACGAGGTCAAGATGATCTTTGAGATCTTCGAAACACTTGTACGGCGGGGCTGGGTCTCTTCACTTGAAGGGGGCTGCTCATACTGCTGGCTCACAGCTTCTACGGTTTTGCCAGACTCGGCTTCAGTGGCCTTGTCGCTGGCCAATGTGCCATTGGCAGCCTCACTTGCAGCTTCATCCTTGATTTGCTTGATGCCCGCCAGCATGTTCACACGCCCATTGATCTTGTCGACCGAGGCAGCAAGTACAGAGTTCTCCGAGCGGAGAGCCTTGAGCCCTTCGAGGATCTCTTTGAGGACGGCATCGCTGGTCGAGCTTTCGGAAGACATGATGGGCAGTAAACCAGATCTCTCATGCAATTTCTGTAGAAACAGGTTTCTGTGAATTGAAAAGAACTTTTCCGCTGCAAAAATTGCTTGTTTGCGTGTGAGAATTGAGTCGTAGAGCTAAAGACCGGGGAGCTCCGAAAAGGTGGGATAAACCAGATGGAATGATCTGGTTTGTAAAGGCAGTGGGGAGCAAGGGCACGAATACAACTTGGCTTCTTCACGGGACCAAGGGGGGATTGGGGGAGAATCCAGAGAAGAGAAGAAAGAAAAGAAGGAAAGAGGAGAGAGCAACGTGGTCGAATATGAATAGTGCTGGAGGTGGCCGACGATGCCAGCAGCACTGAACAGCTGACTTCACACGTGCCTGCGGCGTCGGTGTACGCTGATAGGAGCGGGGCCGCTTATCGACTATCGACGCATGGGGCAGCTCCCCGGCCTGGCGACAGGGATCTTGGCGGTCGGAGCCACGCGAAACATTCACTTGCGCGATCGCGTCTCATTGCATGCGACAGAAGCCTTGCTGTTGACGACATCACTTCCTTGGACTCGACGCTGCCCACCGCCCACGCCCCCCTTCTCCACCAAAAAGTGTTTTTTCCTCTCTCTCTCGACGCAACGACAATACACCTGGTGATCCGGTCACCGCGACAAAATGGTTTGTTTTCTCGGCTGCATTTCCAACTCTCGTGCGCAAATGCTAACCACCACGGACAGGGCAAGCGTAAATCATCAAGCAAGCCTCAGGGTCCCAAGAGGGTGCGTCATACCCTTTTCACCTCTTTCACTATCCTCTCTTTGTGCACTAGTCAAACTGACAAATCCCACAGAAGGAGAAGCTCCCCACAACCTTCCAGTGCCTCTTCTGCAACCACGAGAACTCCGTCAGCGTATCCATCGAGAAGAAGTCGGGCGTCGGCAACCTGCAGTGCAAAGTCTGCGGCCAGACCTTCCAAACCAATATCAACTACCTGAGCGCCCCCGTCGACGTCTACGCCGATTGGATCGATGCCTGCGATGCTGTTGCGAAGCAGGCGGCAAAGGGCAATGCAGAGGTCTCGCGGAGTTCGCATCGCATGGGACGGATGCCTACAGCACACAACCAAGAAGACGACGATGGCGATGGCGGCTTCATTGAGCACGACGATGCGGATGCCGAGGGCGAGTACGCCGACTAGACTGGCGTTCCCTTTGATGGACAACGAGTTGCGAGGCTGAGGGTCACTTTGGATGTTGGCAGCGCAAGAGGGCTTTGGGTCTTGTATAACATATAGGCATAACGGAGACGATGGGCTAATAGTTTTGGCTTGCAAGGCGTTTTGGGTGATTAAAAGGACCCGCACATTCGCGGCGGGCGTTACCATCTTCAATACAAGGCTGATATGTTGCCCCTCCACTGGGAGTTGGGCACTTGCTAGTCCACTTCGAATGCAAACTTTGACGCGCAAAAAAACACTTCGTTGTCACCTTTCCACTTTTTCTTTTGTCATTCAAACAGTCATGCTAACATATGCTGAAGTAATTGAGAACCACGTTGCGCGCATTGGATGTTCATCATACAAACGAGACCAGACGATATATATTTTTTTACATCGTGTAGAAACGGTCGCCAAAGTCACCCAGACCAGGAATGATGTAGCTGTAGTCTGAATCAGCATGCGGCGTGGTCAGACATATAGAGGGGGAAACATACTTCTTTTCGTCCAGACCCTCGTCGACAAAGGCCGTAACCACACGAACCTTGGGGAACTTCTCCGCCAAGCTTTGCGCACCTTCAGGGCTTGCAATAAGGTTGAGGAAGAGGATGTGGTCCTCTGGTACACCTCGGGACTTGAGCACGTCAATTGCCATGAGCGCCGAACCACCTGCCACCGATTAGCATTCCGTCACCATTCGTTCGGCACGTGTTACTCAACATACCGGTAGCAAGCATGGGATCCAGAAGCAGTACCCATCGGTCACTAATGTCTTCAGGCAATTTGTCATAGTACAGCTTGGGTTTGCTGGTCTCTTCATCTCTTTGGATCAAGATTTTACCAATGCGCACACTCCTGCAGCAATCCCTCAAACCCTGCTCCATGGACTCTCCCGCACGCATGATAGAGACACCGCATATTTTGCCTTGGAACTTAACGCCCGAATAAGTGCGGCCTACGGGAGTAGTGATCTCTTGCGATTCCACGGGAAGGTGGTTGAGACCTTCCTCGACCAGAAGACGAATGATTCGATTGCTGTAGAAGATGAAGTCTGCACGGCCTGTGTTGCGGTCGCGAATCATACTTTCTGCGTTTTAGCAAAAGAAGGGCACGAATTGGTCACAGTCTGCTGGGGTCTTACGTGAGCAGTGCTATCAGCTGAGGGCTTTGAGGCAGGATGTGGACATTGCTCTGTTTGATAGGAGTCGAGACGGTTGCAGTTGGCTTCAGAGCAGATGGACGGTACTCAGGACCGACGCATTGAGACGGGGCTGAGGACTGCGTCTCGGGTGCCATGTTGGTAGGCTGATGAGTGTCAAATGTGTGAGGCTACGATACAATCAGCCAGGACTTTGAATTGTGTTGTGAGAACTGTGCTTTTGCATTTTTGAAGCTAATCCATGAATACGAAGTGATCAGAAACCATCTCGTAACGCTTGGGACATACCTTGAGATACGTCTTCTAGCTAGAGTTTGCACTGTTGAAAAGCAAAGTGGAATTGGCGGGGTGAATATCGACTGAAGGGATTCAACAGTCAGACAAACGGGTAGAGCAGATATGAATTGATAAATACAATGCAAAGATAAGAAGAGGAGAAGAGGAGAAAAGGCTTGAGTGGAGTAGTAGTCTAGGCTCGTGACCGTCGGCGAACTCCTTCACTGGGTTTGGAAGGCGCGACCCTTGCCCCGCTGTTGGCGAGATCTGATGGCGGGTCCCTGCCTGCAGGCGCGCAGCCACTCCGACCCCCGGCGTCGTCATTGGCCTGCAAACCCCATGCAGACATCGGTATAGCCTTCATTTCGCCGCGATCATCTCATCTTATAAAAAACCTTGGGATAGATAGACGCGTCGTGTGTTCAAACGTGAGCGTGACTGTGAGTGTGAACACTCGCACAGACACCGACGCCTTTCACCAAGTACACAATGCGCGTCTGAGGGCACTTTGTTTGCAGCGTCATCATAACACGCCTGCTTGCTCACGCCTGCACACGGCTATGGTGACGGCCATGTTTTCAGACTTTACCTCGTCCGATCGCCGCAAGAAGGTCGTCTACGGAAAATCCTCCCGTTTATCTGCTGTTCTGCCACCTGCACCCGACGCCAGCGACGATGCGCCTCCGTCTCCAGACCGACCCCGAAAACAGTCCGTAGCTTCTAATGGAGCATTGGAGGGTATTGGAGGGACAACAAAGAGTGCGGACAGCTTGGGGAACAGCCTGGGGAATCCACGGGCAAAAACAGACAATGTCGACATTTTCGACATACCCGATGACGATGAGTTCGTGGCGCGACCGAAACCTATCAAGAAGTTGGCAGTGAAGTCGAGGGCACCTGAGAAAACTCAAACTGCGCCAGTCGTCCAAAGTGAAAATTCCCGAGAGTCAAAGAAGCTGGCAAAACCGATAGAGACTTTGCGTAAGCCTGAAGCTGCGAAGCCCGATGCAGCACCCAAGAAAACACAGAAGCCTGCTCAGTTACCGAAGCCTCCACGCGCGCCACCACCCTCCTCCACGAATCCAGCCGCCCCTCGGACACTGCGTGCAAAGACGCCTCAGCCCTCTGAACTACCCAAATCGACTGTGAAAAATGGTGGATTGGCACAACCGACAGTGGGCAAAGCAAAGGCGGTCTCGCAAGCAACTGCTTCTGTTCCGTCAGATGCAGTCAAAGCTCAGAGTAATGGGAAATTAAGTACAGTACTCCCTACAAAGAAGCTGGCAGTGAAGCCTACAGCCAAACCAAAGCAGGATTTGAGCGTGTTTGACGTGCCGTCATTAGGAGATGAAGCACCAGCAACAGTCAAGAAGGCGCCGCGTCAAATTCAAGCAGCAAAGAAGAAGGAGCCCGCGAAGATACCCCCACCAGCATTTGAGGTCAATCAAAAACAGGATTCAGAGTCGGACGATTCGAGCGAGTCACGGAAGCGGAAGCGTGGAGGTTCTGTCTCCTCTACTGCCACTGTGGCCAAGTCAACGTCGCGCAAGAAGGCTGAAAGCTCTGTTCCTCCACGAAGTCGCAAGTCTCAGAAGAAAGAAGGCCATGATTCTCCGGGCTACACACCACAGGCTCAGACAAACGCAAGCACGGCTCGCAAGAATCAATCTGCAATGGTACAATCTACAGCATCGATGGCCAATAAAGCAAGGAGGACCAACCAACGTACTGTACCAGTACTGGGACCACCGAAAACAATCAAGGGCCAATCTTCGCCAGCTATGCTGAGCAGTATGCTTCCCAATCGCCAACCAGCCAAGCCATCTCCCATAGCCGAAGCTCCTTCAGCTTCTGAACTAGACGATCAGACCATGTATGATATTCCAGATCCACTTACGACACCTGTTCGCGCGCCAAAGATCTCTGTGGCTGGCTCGACAACCCCACGACAAAGGACTCTCTTTGGCGGCTTGTTAGGCGATTGTTCACCGTCGGGCACACCGATGCCTAGCATATCCAGTTTGCAGTTGACAGACAAGAAACCAAAATCGCTCATTGGGAGCCTGTCAAGATCGAAATCCGACATTACACACAGTGCTGAAGCGCGCAAGACCAGGCTCATCGACACACTCAAGCCAGTCGAGAGCAGCTCAGATGAAGAAGAGGACGAGAGTAGTAGCGAAGGCACAAGTGAATTGGAAGAAGGCCAGGACGAAGCTCCAGTTACACAGCGGCCTGCACGAGCATCCGTGAATGCACGTCCAGCAGCCAATTCCGCTTCTGACGACATGGATGTTGATGTGCAAGCAAATGGCGAATCGCAAACGTCACAGGGGACTTCTGGGTATGGTATGCGACCCAAGCTCACGTACGCCATGTCACGATCATATCTACGGGAAGCCAACCCAGAAGATGACTTGCTAATCAACATGGACCTGGATGATGATTTTGGCGCCCACTCGCAATCTAGAGATAGTGTGTCTGTGTCAGAGGACGAGCCTGACGCGGCGAGTCAAGCACAAGCTCATCATGAGCTGAAAAGCCGAGGGCGCAACTACGTGTTCCAGCAGGAGGCCCAGTCGATGATTGACGATATTTCGAGTAGCACGTCGAGCAGCATACGGCGAAGCGCCATGATGGAATTGTGTACCAAGATGGCCAACGAGACGTTTTGTAGTCAGCTTCTTGACTCGCCGTTGGCCCACCAGTTCTTCCGCAATATTTCAGTTGGAGGAGAGATTATCTTTGACTTTGCTGTCGCTGTCGTCATCGTCTTGATTCTGCGTACCAAGCCTAGCTACACTGTTCTAGACCAGGTGCACGACAGTGGCATTCTCGGCAACTTGACCAAGCTCCTTGGTAAGGACGCGGACATTCAGAAGATTGCAAGGGATCGCAAGACGAATCTGTCAAAGATAGCCAGAGATGCGATGATGAGTCTCCGCGGCTTGGTCCAGCAGTGTTCTTTGTGGTCGCCTACAACGACGAATAAGGTGACGCCGCAGCTTGTGTCGATGAAGGCTGTTGAGTTGCTAGTTATTGGGCTGCGCAAAGCTGGCAATATTGATGTCCTGCTTGACCAGCAGACAGTCTCACAGCTAGTCGAAATTGCCACAACATCGGACCAACGTCTGAAGAACAAGGAGGGAGGGTCAGAAGACGAAGCAATCCTACTCATGGTTCTCTCAATGCTCGAGTCGGTCTCAGCCACAAGACAGAAACAAGTCACATGGCCTACTGCCGTCCTTGAGCGCATCGCAGGCTTCATGCCCCGGTTCCTTCATACCGACGCAGCAGCTTCGACTATGCTAGCCGTCAAACTCTGCATGAATCTCACCAACAACAAGCCCAAAGCCTGCCAATCCTTCTCAGCAAAGACATTTGTGCAACCGCTCATACTCTCCATTATTGAGCGATTCCAATCGCTCAATTCAGGAGCAGCATCTGAGAAGCGGACAGAGACTTTGGAAAGTCTGATTCTGAGTTTAGGCGCTACTATTAATCTCGCCGAGTTCAGCGATGAAATGCGGCTCAACACAGACAACGACGACGAACAGAGTATACAAGTGTTGGTTAAGATATTCCTTGAGGGCTCGGAGAGGGCGTCACAGGTACGTGCATCATCATACACTTCTTATTCACTCCAATCGCAAAACTCACACACTCTCTTTCCAGGCCAAGTCCGTCGAAGAATCACATTCTGGAGTCGCAATTGGATATCTCGCTGTACTTCTTGGCAATCTTTGTCTCAACGACTCGATGCGATCTAAGATTCAGACGTTGCTACCGGACAAGCAGTTGAATGTGCTGATTGAAAGTATCAAAGAGTTTGTGCGTGTGCATGAGCATGTTGATAAGCGGACGGAGGAATTTGAGGGACAAGAGGGACAAGAGGCGTTGCAGACGTATACGGCGCGTCTGATGCTTGTGGTGGAGAGATTGGCAAGAGCGGCTTGAGATTGGGGATTGGGTGACTAGTCTCCTTGGTCTAGTTCTTGGCATGTGGTGTGGTGTGTGTGTGTGTGCATGTAGCCAAAGGGTTAGTTGGCAAGTTTTTTCCAAGTTTTTTCAAGTTTTTTTGTTTGTTTCTGGGAAGGATGGGGCGTTGACATTGACGGCATGATACCCGAAATTCACGAACTTGATAGCTCTCTCTCTCTCTCTATTGTATGTAAGGTGACGGGCGCAAGGTTAGGTTTGAAGAACCTGGCTCTATGCAGGTGCCGGACATGGGGGTGGCATATAGTATGTTTAAAATCAAAAAATGTCTCAGTTCATTGAGCAAGTAAGTAAATGTGTGTGTGTGTGTGTGTGTGTGTGTGTGTGTGTGTGTGTGTGTGAGAGTATGTGAGCCGTCTGCCGACGGGTGTTGGGCGTCCGTGTTCCAGTTTGAGGGGGGGAGGGTAAATGGCAGTCAAGAGGCTAAATGGTAAGAGAGAGAAGCTTGGGAATGGGCACACTCGCAATGCATAAGGCTGCGTTAATTGTGGTCCCGAGGAAGCGGACGAAATGACGCAAACGGGCGGTATGTGGAGAGAGGGTTTGCCCGTCGGAGCAAATTGAGCAGGATTGCTTGCTTAGGAGATTTGGCTGCAGCCAGGGCCCCCGTCTGAGGTTGCAATCAAAAAAAAAAAGACGGGAGCGGGCGGGCGGGCCATGAGCAGCAGATGTTTGCATGTGATTGTCTAGTTTTTTTGAGTCGCGCAAAGAGATGGTTGCGGCTAGTGAGTAGTGGATCGGGGCAGCGGGAGGGGGATGGCGGGCGTGTAGCTTCGAGGGCCTTTTTGTGAGTCGAATGGCGGATGGACGAGGGTGTTTGAAGTTGAGTGGAGTGGTGTAGAGGATGAAGGTGATTGGCAATACGTAAATGAATGCTTCGAGAAGGCCGGGATTCGCTGGGGGGTGGGTGCATTTTGGTGGTGCCAAACCCAAAGCGATTTCTGATGGTTGCCCAACCATTGATTGTATCATGCTGCGTCGTCTGCATCTGCTGCTGGTGCTAAATGCAGACGACCAGCCGGGCCATCGGGGGGTTGGTAGCTGGATATTTTTTCCTCAAAAAGCTCTTTGCAAACAAGACAACAACACTGCGGGTGACATTGCGCAGAGCCAGCACAGCAACTCTCTTTGTGCCATAGATTCAGAGACACACACACACACACACACGCATCACCTGCAGCTCGACGGCGTCATCCCGGCGCTAGCTCTTCCAGGCAATTGGCAGGCCCGAACCACCAAAACGCAACTTAGGCAGCTACTCCCCATAGCTGGACTCGAGAAGACGGCCATACATACTTTCACCCTGGCCCAGCCCCGTGGCCATCCCTACGCCCTTGTCAACTCCCCCTTCGCCTTTGCAACACCATGGCCCCGCCCAAGCAGAGAAAGATTGCCATCGTCGGCAGCAGGGCAGTCGGTACGTCGAGGCGCGTGGCGTGCGCAACCTTCACATGCAAGCCGCAGCAACGCAGCATAGGCAGAGCATACTGACAAACCCCCTTCTTCGCAGGCAAGTCGAGTATGACGGTGCAGTTTGTCGACGGCCACTTTGTAGACAGCTACTATCCTACCATTGAGAACACGTTTAGCAAGATGATCAAGTACAAGAACCAAGACTATGCCACGGAGATTATCGACACAGCCGGACAGGTACTTTGAGGTTTTCTTTTCTCCCCGCGTCGCCCTGCCCTGCCCTGCCCTGCCCAGCCCACCTCCACACCCCACTCTGCCGGTGCTTCGTGCGCCGCGACTGGGCCTGAGATGCGCATTGCTTGCATTCGAGGCCGCCTTCGCTGGAACAATGTACTACTCTACTACTACTACTATATTATGAACAAGACAAACAAGAGGACTCGACTGACTCGGCTGCTACTGTCCAGGATGAATACAGCATTCTTAACTCGAAGCATTTCATCGGCATCCACGGCTACATGATTGTCTACTCGGTCGCCAGCAAGCAGAGCTTTGAAATGGCACGCATTATCCGGGATAAGATTCTGAACCACCTGGTAAGTGCCGGTGCATACAATGGGCCATTGTCACAACGACATTGAAGCTGATCATCTTGCCAATGCCAGGCCGTCGAATGGGTTCCCCTGGTCATTGTAGGTAACAAGTCGGACCTTCGCCCCGAACAACGCCAAGTCACCCCCGAAGACGGCCGCGCGCTCGCCGCCGAGTTCAAGTGCGCGTGGACCGAAGCCAGCGCCCGCTACAACGAGAATGTGCAAAAGGCGTTTGAGCTCATGGTTGCTGAGGTGGAGAGATCTCAGAACCCTGGTGAGCCGGCAGGCGGCAGCAAGTGTTCAGTCATGTAATTGAACATTGTTGACTGACATGAGCGCGTCCTCCCCTCCCCTTGAAGGCGTCGGAGTGGACAGGTACAAAGCGTTGCAGCAAGAGGACGAGGAGCGGGACAAGAGACGACCGAAACGAAAGGACATGGTGAAGCATCCGGTGAAGCATTTGAAGAGGCTCTTTGTGAAGAAAGACTAGGGCGGGGCCATGTGCCGTTTTTCTTTTTGCTTTTGTTTCTTAGACGACATAGACGTGGGCGGGCTGTTTTGAGGCAGTCATGACATTTGTTTATGCGGACACGACTCTTATGTTGTTCATGAGAGGCGAGGTGCGTACCGGCGTATTAATGGAGGAGGCGGGGTGGGTGAACTCGGCGTTGTATCTGTCTGGTATGTGGACTATCCGTGTTGCTCTCCATGACGGCATGTCACGGGTGTCGTAGCTACGGTAATGCTCCACGTTATTTTCCAAGACTCTACGGTGCAGTATGCAAAGGACTTTGTGCTAACATCTGACACGGGAAACATGTGCCATGACTGTCTGGTGTTAGTCTGACATGGTCGCCGCTTACTCCTCCGCTGTCCGCTGTCCGCTGTCCGCTGTCTGGCCTGCCTTCTCGCTCTCCCAGCAGCTCCACCGTGCACGCACACGCACACGCACACACGCACATGCCTTGCTTGCCTGCCTCTTGCCCATGCCATGCACCGACCACCCCCCAAGCCAACCCACAAAACTCGTTTAGGCAGCTCTAAAGCTTTGACAGAAAAGCCACTGTTTTCCACGGTCTTTGAGAGAGCGCCTACTCGATTTGGTAGTTTGGGACCGTAGACCTCTGTGCGGCCTCAGCTGTCCTCAGCTGCCGCCGTGCATTTGGGGCTACTTTACATACACACAGTACACACTACTTTTACACACTACCCACTGCCATCCCTCACCGCCCTAGACATGTATTACTTACTATACAACTAATAACCCTTCCTCTGCCCGGCCCCATTCTTTGATTGGCTCCCCCGGCATCGACAAAGAACCTCTTTTTTTTCCTTTCCCCCAAAGCAGTAATTTATCACCTCTGCCGTTGATTGCTGGCCTTTTAGAGAAAAGGTTCCCCCGGTGCGTTTGTGGTTTAGTGGCAAATTGGTTCCTCCTCCCCTTGGGTGCGAGCTTAAAAAGGTTTAGTGCGGGGCGGCCTTTTTTGGGATCCCTGCAAACCGGCCGGCGGTTGTGGGTGCGGGACACAACTTGATGAGTCGCTCACTGGGCTTTTGACACCAAACTGACCACGCCCGACGCGCCTCATTGCTTGTTCTCTTTTTCACCGCGACACATTGAGATTGTGAGACGACATGCTGGACTTGTATGTCATGTTTTTTTTTGTATTCTTGCGTTGCGGTAAATGTTGCGGCAGGTGCTTCTCTGGAGAGGTTTGGAGGGGCTTGCATATTGACAGTGGGAGAGAGACAGAGAGAGAGCATGGACGATACGAAATCAGAACAATGGCGCAGACTTGTGAATTCTACAACAAGGAACTCTAGCTAATCTGCTTCTCTCTACTACAGAAACGATTTCATCAAGGAGCGCGGCGGCGACCCGGAAGTGCGTATATTCCCTTCCGAAACAATGTCTCGCGCGACAAACAACAATTCCGCAAAAATGGCTAATTTACCCACGAATGTAGAAAATTCGCGACTCGCAGAAGAAGCGCCACGCCCCGGTCGAGATTGTAGATGAGATTATCGCCGATTTCGAAGGCAAGAACTAGGCCTCTATACACACAAGACATTTCTAACCGTTGGACCTTTTTACGGAAACAGACCACCGCCGCACGCAATACGACGCCACACAAATCGGCTCCAAGATCAACGCCATCCAAAAGCAAATTGGCGCCAAGAAGAAGGCCAAAGAAAATGCAGACGACCTGCTCGAAGAGAAGAAGCAGCTCGAAGAGTCCAAGAAGAAGCAGGAGGCGGAGGCCCATGCTAAACTCGTCAAGTTGCATGCCAAAGCCAAATCCGTCGGCAACTACGTCTACAAGGATGTTCCCGTCAGCGACAACGAGGATAACAATGCCGTGCTGAAGACTTGGGCGCCCGAGTCGAGAAAGGCCGAGTTTAATAAGGAGGGCATACCGCATCATGGTGTCTTGGCTAGGTTGAATGGGTGCGTGGATTCTGGTATATTGAAATGGGTGGAATGGGTGCTGATGGGTTGAGACAGATATGATCCAGAGCGTGGTACCAAGATTGTTGGTCATAGAGGATATGGTGAGTGCGCCCTAGGAGATGTTTCTTTGTGGTTGTGTTTTGACAATGCGCGGTGCACTTGTTGATGGGTTGAGTGTTATGGTCTTTAGAACTTTAGACTAACTTTTGTGTAGTATGTGAAACTCCACGCTTCGATCGACAACCATGCAAGCGCTGCTTTGGACAACCGCTTTGGATATGAATAACATGGAGCACTTACTAATATATGCGTGTAGTGCCTGACTGGATACGGTGTCTTCCTCAACCAAGCACTGATCAACTATGGTCTTGAATTCTTGGTAGGTATCCAGATATGTCATTTGAAACTATCAGCACTGACAATCACCGTCTCAGTTCAGCAAAGGCTTTACCCCCAACCAACCACCCTTCTTCATGCTCCGGGATCAGATGGCCAAGACC